TGATGGGATCAGATATAGGACATCTTTTCAGGACAATAGACAGATAAGCTTTATATCTAGTGACATGATTGATACCACAGCATTTTTGTCTGACAGTTAATAATTCACTCCATGAGCCAGACATGTGGCTCAGGCTTGTAGCTCCAACTACTAAGAAGAGTGGTTGCTTGAACCCAGGAAATCAGGTCAATACGTAAATGCCCCCTTTTGTTGTGGTTTGTTTTATTTTCTGAGAAAGGGTCTTATGGGGGCTGGAGAGATGGCTCAGCCATTAGGAGAACTTGCTATTCTTCCAGAGGACTCAGGGGGTTTTTGTTTGTTTGTTAAGACAGGGTTTCTCTGTGTAGCTCTGGCTGTCCTGAAACTCACTCTGTAGACCAGGCTGGCCTCAAACCCAGAGATCCCCCTGACTCTGCTTCCTGAGTACTAGGATAAAAGGCATAAACAACCACACCCTGCTACAGGCTAAGGACTCAGATTCGATTTCCAACACCCATGTGACAGTCCATAATTGTCTGTAACTCTAAGTCCAGGGGATGCTATACCTTCTTCAGGCCTCCAAGGGCACCAGGCACGCACGTAGTGAACAGACATATACATGCAGAGGCAAAACATCCATACATATTGAAAAATAAAATTTATTCAAATATTTTGTAAAGGAGATAAGGTCCCATGTAGCTCAGGCTGGCCTTGAACTCATGTGTAGCTGAGAATGAACTTGACCTGGTCCGCCTACCTCCACCTCTTCAGTGCCAAGATCACCGGCATCCATTACCATGCCCCAGTGTTCTCTGCTGAGGATGGAACCCAGAGCTTTCACGCATGCTAGGCAAGCACTTTACCAGATAAGCTCCATTCCCAGCCCAGAAGGGCCCCATCTTAATAAAAACAATCATTCGGCCGGGCATGGCAGCACAGACTCTAATCCCAGCACTCAGGAAGCTGAGGCAGGCAGATCTCTGTGAGTTCAAAGCCAGCCTGGTCTACAGAGTGAGTTCCAGGACAACCAGGGCTACACAGAGAAACCCTGTCTCAAAAAACCAAATAAATAAATACAATCATTTACTCCATGTGTCTCTGATCAGCAGTGACAATTACCTGGGCACCTGTACCAGGGCTTAAGAGAGACATCAGACCTGATTTTACTCTCCCTTCATCAACTGGCCTCTTGTACCAGGCACAGAGCTGTTCCAAGACAAAGACACTGGATCCCAACAGGCCAAATCTGAGTTCCCCTTGACCTCAGAGGCAGGGTATACAGACTGGCCAGGTTGTGGGGTGGGGCACACAGCAAAACCACACAAACTGCTAATGCAGGCTTACCTGGAAATCCTACTGGCTGAGGGCTGGTCCAGGGGAAAGAAATGGCTCCAGCCAGTGATGGAACCCTGGGATCAGATAGCATGCTGGTTTTGTCACCTCCCAGCTGGGACAACTGAACAAATGACCCAGCCTCGTGTTATATGTGTAAAACTAATGAGGGCTACTAATCATGCTGGCGCCAGTGTAACCCTTCGATGAGAGAATCTGTGGATGATGAAGCGTGTGGATGGTGGCTGCCTTTGCACTCAAGGTGATAGACTGCCGTACCTCCTATGCTGTGTTCAGGCCACACCCACGGGTCCTCCACTTCCCACACAGCCCCCTCTTCTCAGGCCCCTGACTTTCTGCTTTTCATTCATGCTATCCCCTTTCTTGATTCTACTCCCTCCTCCCTTTCTCCTTTGCTGGGCCAGTATAGAGAATGGTAGAGACTGTCGCAGGCAGCCCCATGCTACAAAAGGCAAGAAGCCCCTCTGCAATGTAGCCTGTCATTTCTCAGAAGAAAAACACTGACTTCATCTGGCCGAGAGAAGCAGGCTCTGCCCAAGGGCTCCCATGTCCTTAGACTGAGCAGGCAGGCCGAGTGCCTGAGTGTTCTGGAAGGTCAGGGAAGACAGGGTGTTCGCTGAATAGCAGCCCTGGCACCTGTGTTTGTGTAGGGGAGGAAATGGGCTGTGTGTGCCCAGCTGGGAGGAGCCACTGGTCTGGGACTAGATGGAGAGGGTTTGCTAACCCCTGGCTGCAAAAAACAGCCTGGACCCTGGAACAGGGCTTACCCTAGCAGCCAGACCTGCTCATGAGGAGAGAGGCTCCTTCAAAGGCAGAGGGAGAGGAACCACCCTTGTGGCTGATGGGCTGGAGGTGGAAAGCAAGGGTGAGGGTATAAATGTCTGTGTTCTTTTAACTTCTCCAGAAAGGTCACCATGGGATCCCCAATACCAGCCATCTTGAGTGCAGGAAGAGATTTTTTTTCTCATACAGTTTTTTCTACTCCCTGGATGGCCTCCAGTGTGTGAGCCACTGACACTCCGAGGTCTTTACAATCGATTTCCTGGAAAGGCAGCCCAGCCAGCAGTCACGTGGGAGATGTGTGTGCTACTGGCTGAGGCTTAGGAGACAAGGGAATTCTAAGCCACCCTCCCACATCATGGCAGTGTCCACCAAAAAGAGTGTGCATGCATTTCTGCCTGCTGACTTCACCTGAGGAAGCGATGCCCACGAAACTGTTTGCATGCATGCAAAGAGACCCCGGCAGCATGCTCCCTGCAGGATTGTCTGTGTGACCATAATCGGAGACACCTCAATTGTCCATCAGGCAAGGCTGCCACATTCTGAGAGTGGGTGGTGGCCCCTGGAATCAGGTGGACATGCCATTTATTACAAAAGCTGGCTCATGCTTCCCGAGTGAGGGCAGAGGAGGAGGAGGGGAAGCCACTGAGCCAGAGGTCAATGCTTTAGCCACACAAGGACTGTTATGCAGAAAGCTAGAAAAAAAAAAATCAAGCAAGGATACTTCCCCCGAGAGGGAGTCCAGCGTGGACTGTTCCAAGCAAACAACTGCAGAGCAATATGGTCAGCCATTTGTGTAAAATCACTGCAGAACAAAGATCTTGACCTCACACATATGTGTGCGTGTGTATGTTATATATGTCAACACCTGGGAAGTCTGCCGTGATACACGTGATACACGTACAGCTAAGGCTATTGTTGGGGACAATGGTGACTGACACTGGTCAGAAACAGGAATGAAAGGAACTGCTTTCCTGTTGCTGCTGCTGTTTCTCATTATTGTTTGCTTATTTATTCTGAAACAGATCTCACTCTGTAGCACAGGCTGGCCTCAAACTCATGGGGATCCCCCTGCCTCAGATCCCTGGGTACTGGGATTACAGGTTTGAGCCACCAGCTTACTTTTCTCTCTCTCTCTCTCTCTCTCTCTCTCTCTCTCTCTCTCTCTCTCTCTCTCTCTCTGCATTTCTGTACCTAGAACAAAGAGCTGAGAAATCAGGAACATCACCTCTTCTGTTTGTTCTGTGTGCTGCCTGACTGCCTCCCGAGGCCTGCACTTCTTGGAAGACATCTCTCTCCCAAGTCCACCAGCTTCCATTAGGTAAGGTGGAACCATGGGTGAGGTGGCTGAATGTCACCTGAATCAACATCAAAAGGCCACTGCCACACTGGAGGGGCCAGTGCTGGGCTCCTGCTCCAGGTCTAATAGTGTTTGTGTAGACAGCCCTCACAGAGGGGGAGTGTCTTATTGAGGGCCTACAGGAGGCACTGATGGGGAGTCCAACAAAGCAGGAGTCTAATGACATCAAATTCAGCTGCTTTTTCTACCCTCCCTCCATTCCCACTGATCCCCAGAAGGGTGGGAAAGGGTAAGAACAGCTTTCTTCCTGCCTCCATGTTGGCGGCTGGCCCATTGCCAGGCCTAAGTTAGAGCCAGCGCTCTGGCCTCTGGATGGAGCCAAACCTGCCTCTGATGGAGTCACAAACAGTCCCCAGTGCTAGGCCAAGACCCTTAAACTATTTATCTTGCCTGGCACTGCATTCCTTAGCCTGTCCTGCCATGCTGGGCACAGGGCCTATTGACCTCCAGGGCTCTCTGCTCTAAAAGAGGGGCCCTCTGTCCTGGAAACCCATGTGGCTGCCAGGACTCTGATGGGTCTGGTTTCAATTTCCAAGGAGTCTTTGCTTCCTCTTTCCTTGTTCTAGAAGGAAGAACAGTGACAAAGGACAAGACACGTGGGTCACAGGCCTATTCTGTACCAAGAGTGCACACCAGCTCACTCACAATTGATGCCCATGTCAGATGAGGTCACTGCTCTGTTCCCAGGTCTGCCCACTGCAAGGACAACATATGTCACTATGCCATGCCCTGTGCAGTCTCCCTGTCAGCAGGCTTCAGAACAGCCAGTGGTGGCCAGGCAGGGGAAATCCCGCCTCCAGGACCTCCCGAGGAAGGGAGCCTTGGCTATCTTGGCTCTTTCTGCTCTTTGACATCCATGTTTCTCAAGTGCTGGCCCTGCCAAATGGGGTCAAGCAGGCTGTGGCCCTCTTCTAGGATTCATTATTCTCACTTCTAGTATCACCATTCCGAGAGAGATGCGAAGGCCCCTTCAAGCCACCCAGCCCCATGCTAGCCATCTGTAAACCCTAGGGTCAGCATGGCTTGAGCTGTGTCTCTGCCACCCCCGGCCAAGCAACCTTGAACACATCTCCAAGCATCTGTGTCAGTTTCCTTGACACTGTCATAATCATAGAAGCCTGTTGTCCACACTCTGGGCTGGGTGTTGCCTTCCCTCCATTCTTTGAGAAGACTAGGTTATTCTTCAGGCACACAGGTAGGAAAGAATCAGACCAGGCTAGAGAGGGACTGGGCTGTGGCCTGATGAAATACCAGACAGCACTCTTCTCCCAGCTGGCTAAGAGGAGACCAAGTTCATACGCCAGTGGGGCCGAGGATGGATAAGGCAGTAATGGGGCCAGGGCTTTTCAAATGTTCCATTTTCTCTTCATTTATTTATTTACTTTCAAATGTTCTGTTTTCTATTTATTTATTTATTTATTTATTTATTTATTATACAGTGTTCTGTCTGCATGCATGCCTGCCCGACAGAAGAAGGCATCAGATCTCATTGTAGACAGTTGTGAGCCACCATGTTGGTGCTGGGAATTGAACTCAGGACTTCTGGAAGGGCAGCCAGTGCTCTTAACCTCTGAGCCATCTCTCTAGTCCTTCATTTTCTCTTCTTTCCTGTCCCTGGCATCTGCGTCCTGTGATAGCCATTGTCCCGGCTTCCTCCAGGTCCTTCCTTCGGCATCCTGTAGAAAGCCCAGTACAGAGCCAGGGCAACTGGGCAGAAGAAAAAAGGATGGCACACTGAACCCCTGGCACGGCAGAGTGTTTCATAGCAGCTGTCAGCAAAGCCAGGGTGAATTCCCAAGCCAGTTTGGTTTCTTTCTTCCTGGGAGGCACTTCTTTAAAACAAGACAGAGTGTGTACCTAGCTAGCACACAGCCCTGGATTCAATCCCCAGCACTGAAAACAAACAAACAAAAGCAAAAACCACAAAAATACAGCCAGCAAACAAAAAACAGGTGTGGTGGAACACATCTGTAATCCCAGAACTTGAAGGCAAAAAGGTCAAAAGTTAAAGGTCAGGGGTATACCCTAGTGGTAAAGCATTTTGACTGTGTAAATTCAAGGTCATCCATGAACTCTAGGCCAGTGATACACAGGAGACCTTGTGTTAAAAAAAAAAAAGCCCAGTGATAGCAGCACGTGTCATTAATCCCAGCACTCAGAAGGCAGAGGCAGTAGGATCTCTGTGAGTTCGAGACCAGCCTGGTCTACAAGAGCTAGTTCCAGGATAGCCTCCAAAACTATACAAAGAAACCCTGTCTTGAAAAACCAAAAATAAATAAATAAACAGCAATTAATAATACTAGACTCAGAACTTGGTCCTCGGAACAGTTCTCTGGTAATCTGTGTCTATCTTACCTCCACATCTTGATGTGCTGCCAGCAGAGAGAGTCAATATACACTGTGAACAGAATGACAGGAGGAGGAATCTGAAAACCAGTTGCTTTCAGAACCAACACACACAAAGGGACTTCGTGCAATGTCTCTCCATAGTTATGTGTCCCATAAATGCCATTAGACTTGGGGCCTGGAGGCTGTTTGGTTGTCACCAACATTGGCTTATTTCTAGGCCAACAACTCTAGGCAGCAGGGTGGCCACACTTGGTCTGAACTGTTGAGCCTGGAGACAGTGGCCAGCCTTCCACTGCAAGCTTCTGACTTCAGCTGCTCATAGTAGCACCAATTGCTCTTCTTTGCAAGATGTTTCCTGCTTTGGGCCTCAGATGGTCTGTTACAATCACATTTGTTTCAGGGATGTCTCCAGAGGAGGGGAGAGGCCACCTCCAGAGACCTGTGCCCAGCAACTAATCTCTGAGGGCCAACTGGTTCCTCAGATCATCTGTGAACTGTGAGGACAAGGAAGGGCTGTCTTTGGGGTTCTTTCTGGGCATTAGGGAAGAAACCTCCCCAGCAACGGGATTCTTGGTCTAAATTGGTGCTTCCTGGACATCAGGGGACTGGAGAAATGGAAGCTGTTGGTAGCCACTCCCACCTTCTACTCACCTCAGGTCTGAAAATTCAACTCAGTGACTTGCTGTTCCTTCAGGGTCCCCTCTGGCCAAGCTTCCTGGTTGAAAGATGACTCAGGGCAGAGCTGCTTCCCATACCTACAGGCCAGTCCCTGTCCAGTCCAGGCCATCTCAGGCCACTCTGCCCTCACACACCTGCAGGCTTGTAGTAGAGGTGATGTGCCCCAAGCAGGGACAAGGGAAGCTGAGGAAATGCAGCCGCAAGGATCTCCAGAGGGACTGTCTTTCTACCTTCCTCCAGGCCCTTCCTGTTCCCCTCTCCCCAGGAGAGCTGGCCCTGCTTCAGACCTGGGGTGAAGCCAGAGTCACCAGGCCAAGGCACACGATCTTTCCACAATCCTGTGCTCTTAGCAGGTCAGGGGTGGAGCCTGAGAGTTTGCATGTCTTCTTTGATACAGGGGCTCACAACAGCCTAGGCTGGCCTGGGACTCAGGATCCTCCTGCCTCCACCTCTTGAATGTTGGGATAACACGTATTCAACACCACACCAGCTGGGGTGCCTGCCTTTCTAAACAAATTCTCCCCCCCCCCACAAGACAGAGTTTCTCTGTAACAGCTCTGGCTGTCCTAGAACTCACTCTGTAGACCAGGCTGGCCAGAGAGCCACCCTCCTCTGCCTCCTGAGTGCTGGGATTGAAGGCGTGCAGCAACCAATTCCCTTTTGCTGCTTCTGTTGCCAGCATAATGGCCACGGACACCAATGTCTGGGCACGGAGATGAAAGTGTGAGGAATGTCCGTCTCTGCTCCATGTTATTTCTTCGAGGAAGCTTCCTGGACCCCGAGAAGAAATGAGGGACCCACTAATGATACCCATTTTCATGGGAACTGGCTCTACATGACATTCACCACACTTTTCATTTACTGCCGATTTGTGAAATCCCTGTCAACCTTCCCTTAACTCTGTGGTCTCTTTCATTTACTGATAACTCCCTGATGCCCAGTTCTGTGCCTGGTAGACACTAGGTACTCAACAAATAGCTTCTCTGTGAATGGATGGATGGATGGCTGGATGGATGGCTGGATGGATGGATGGATGAATGAATGAATGACTTGTACATGTAACAATATTCAGAGACATTACTGTGTTCAGGAGATCCAGGCACAGGGAGAACAATGGGAGGCAATGTTTCAGTCTCCTTGGGCTAGTTACAGCTGTGTGACCTTGGCTTGGTTCTGAAACTTCTCTGTGTGAGTTTACCTGTAAATTCAGAGTCATGTCTGTGAAAAATCTGTAAGGTTACATAAGAACCAAATGAGCTAATCTGTCTAGACTGCTGGTGTTTGTGCCTGCCACACACTGAACACCATGTAAGGTGATGTCATTGTTCTCCAAGTGCCCTCCAGTGAGTCCCCTCTCACTTCCATTAGACTCTGATCAGAAACTAGTTGCTACAGAATTCCCTTTGGACCTGGGAGGGAAGTCTTAAGTGGCAAAGGAAGCGGCCCAGAATTCACGCCAGGGGATGGATGATGGTAGACAATGGGCATTGGGGTGAGGGGTGTCTGGGGTAAGGTGGGAAGTACCACAACTCTGGCTGTCACACCTGAGTGGAGCTGGTGCTTCTGGCCGGTCCTCACTGCCACCAGCCAAGGCTCTGAGCTGACTCACTGCCAGGAGGAGAGGTGATTAGCATGCAGGGCAGGTACCAGGAGGAAAGCTGTCTCCATGCAACCGGCTCTCTATGTGTTTCTCTGATTAATGTGACAGAGGGAACATTGCAGCTTTTTTTTTTTTTTTCCTGAATGGTCGCCACGTGGAGCCAGAGTCATTAGCATTGCTTCTCTGGCTTGCCATGACCCCAATGACCACCCTAAGTAGATATTAAAAAAAAAAAAAGAACATGGCTGAGGCAGCTGCGAGGCTTGGAGACCCTACTTGGTAGCTTAGCAGCAGTAAGAGCCTCTCACGAAAACCGTTTTTCGATGGCCCCACCCTTCCATCCTCTCCCATTCCCACAAAGCATCCCTTAAAGTTTTGCGTTGGAATCTGCTGCCGACGTGAGGAGGAGGGTGGAACCATGCTGGTTCTCAGGGGTGGGGTCCAGGTGGGGATCCAGGACAGTATTTGAGTCCTGAATGAAGGAACAATAGGATGGAGAGATGGGGTTCACCTAGCATAGGAGAGGGAACCAGAACTAGAAGGGGACTGATGACCATGCAGGACTCATAGACCAAGGCGGGGGTGGGGGTGTGTGCCTGAAGACATGGACCTTATCCTGAGGGCAACAAGTGGCTGGTCATCTGGGGTGGAAGGGCCAATTAGGGATCCAACCTGGAAGTGGAGAGAATGGTTAGGAAGCAAATGCCCGAATCCAGGGCCAAAGGCTGTGCCTCTGAGTTATGTATGCACAGTCCTGCACATGGACGCTTCCCACTTCCTGCTCCCTGGCCTGGGAGCACAAACATAGAGTCATCTATAGAGCACAAAAGCGGGTGTTGCTCAGGGAACATAAGACAACCAGTCAGGACCTGCTGGCTGCTTGCTGGTGGCGGGAGGACCTCCTATGTAGTTTTGTCCTGGGCTCTGTGGCACATGTTGCCACACTATTATAGACTATTGTCCCAGGAATCGCTCCCCCCCCAAAAAAAAGTGCTACTGTCCTCCATTTCCCAGTCCCATTCCCATTTCCCAGTCTCAAGTGGGGGATGGAAGGTCAGACTTGTTTAGAAGAACGTGACAGTGGGGACAGCTTTGGACCTCAGACACTAAGCTCTCACCAACCCCATGTCCTCACCACCATACATCTGCCAGCTTCCCCAACCCGGCTATCAGCACCCTGCCTGGGAGCAGGGTCTTCATCCTGCCCTACAGTCAGTCTTTCTGAGCCAGGAAGCAGCTCTCTGAAATCTGCCTGGGCTGGGAAGAGATGAGCAATAGCGCTAATTGTGGAGCCTGCAGGAGAAGCTGGGAGGAGGCAGCTGAGAAAGAAATCATCTCGTGATGCACCAATTACTGATCAGCTGGGATATAATTGTGGGGCTGCCATGCCGGCTGCTGGAGGTACCAGGCCTCCCTCTCATTAATCAACGGTAATCCAGAATTACGACCTTTAATGATCTGCAAAGGCACTTATGCACACATGCACACATGCTCTCCCATGGACACAAGTAATTGATAATCAACCATGTAATTGGAGGCAATAATTCTGTCCGGGCCAGATGACAGACTCCACCCCGCCAGCAGAACAGAGCCCAAATCACAGCCGACCCCTGCCACTGGTGGCACTTTGGGGGGAGGAAGGATGCCCCTTCTCTTCCTTAGCAGGTTTCCTCTAATCTTCTCGAGGCGGTAAGACTGCAGCAATTTTTTTTTTTTGCCTTCTGTTGTCATATCTCTGTATTTTTTTAAATTTGCACATAACTCTGCATAGCACAGAAAATTAAAAATACCATTGCAAGACTGTACCACTGTAAAGACTGGAGTTCAGATCCCCAGAACCTACGTAAAGCCAGACCTGTAGTTTTGTAATCCCAGTACTACTGACAATAGGAAGCAGAGTCTGGAGACTCTCTGGAAGCACTCATGCTCACAGGCCAGCTAGCCTGGTCATAGGGTTCTCCCATGCCCGCCCGCCCGCTGTTTTAGAATTGCAGCCAGGCATGGTAATTTCAGCATTCTGGAGGCAGAGTCAGGGAGATTTCTGGATCCCTAGATATGTGAACTTAATTAAACTGGGTACATAATCCCCCTCTAGCCTTCCCACCCTATGTCCACATCTTATCTCCTCAGGTTTTCTCCATGGACATCCATGGCGCCCCCAAGCTGCCCTGATTTTCTCATTGTTCAAATGAGCTAGTTCAAATGTTCCCTCTTGGGGGGGGGGGGGGGGGGGGGGAGGGGCGGGGGGGGGGGGGGGGGGGGGGGGGGGGGGGGGGG